CGGGAGCTGAGCTGCCCTTGGCGTGAGCCGGGCTCCGTGGGAGCGAGGCCTGGGCGCGAGGTGGGTTCTGACAGGAGGGAGGTTTGGGCTGCGGGGCTTCGGTGGGTCGTGCCGTGCCCGCTGCCCGGGGCCGGCTCCCATGGAGGAAATTGGCCGTGCTCGGGGCCTTCAGGTCCCTAGCTGGATTTCCGTCATGCTCGGGGGTCACTTACGGGGTTGCCCAATTCCCGGGGTGTTCTCCTCGCCCTTCCCTGCCACCCTCGCCCCTTCCCGACCGCCCCGAGGTGCGAGCGCTGCGCTCGGAGCTGCAGGCTCGGATCCCACCCGCCGTGGGCGGGCGCTCCCCCCGAGTGATACCCACCAGCGCCCGCTTCCTGGCCTGGCCGCCGCAATCTCCCCGTGGCACATAGCACGTGCCACCCGTGTCCCTTCGTGCCTCCTGGGGGGACCCGGTCATGTCCCTGGCCTCCACAATCCCGTCTGGATCAACCCCGGTAATGGAGGGCAATGCTGCCGCCCGCCCCCGTTTCCCATCTGCCGGGGCTGGTTTAAAAGCCGTTTCGTTTGGGTTTGGTTTTGTTTTGTTTTTTTTGCTTTGGAGTTTATGAAAATCTCCCTGTCTAATATCCCGAGAGCCAGCCTATAATTGTGTTATTAAATCAATCGGAGCGGATTACATTGTAAAATCAATAGGCGGCTGTAATTGCGTATTAGAAAGTTGTTCTGCTGTTGTTGATTCTTTTTACATGGATAATTGTAATAAGCGTGTTTACCTTGGCGCGGGGTCGGCTCCGGTGCGCGGCATGACGGATGACGGCCCGGCGTGCGGGGGGCTGTGCCTGCCCCGGTGAGGTGGGCTCGCGCCAGAGCCATTGGAGGGGCAGGGGAGAGCGTGAAGGGCGAGGGCGGAGGGGTCGCCCCGAGGTGCAAGCACCTGGTGGTTCCCCAGCTCCCTGGATCTGGACCTGGGCCAGTGCCGGGGAGGGATATGGGATACCTGCAGCACCGGACCCCTTGGATCTCCTTGCAGGCTGCCCCGGGGCAGGGGGCACATGGCTGGTGCCAGCAGTCCCCTACGCTCCTTGCTCCGTAGGTGCCAGGGCTCACCCCAGGGCACGGCCGGGTGTCAGTGTGCGCCGAATAGGGGACCGCTGTGTGTGCCCCGTAGTCTGTGCAACGATGTGCGCAGGTCTCTGCAGGCCCTGGACGTGCGAAGCTGTGACACAGAGAGCTGTCGATGGTGCCCCCCACCACCCTGCCCTTGCTGCCGGGCTGGTGCCGAGTCCCGTTTGGCTGCTGGGGTCCCGACCACGCCAAACCTCCTCCCTTGAGGCCCCAGCCGCGGCAGGCGGGCGTCTGGCCAGGGCAGCTTAGGAACAGCGAGCTCCGCACCCCGGCTCTGTGCCCTCTCGATGTCCCATGTCCGACACCTGCCCTGGCATGGGTTCCCTCCGGGCTCTGGCATGTCCAGGGTGGCCGGGAGGGCAGGTATGTTGCTTGGCCAGCTCTGCCGTGGCCTCCCCTGCCCTGCTGAGCTGCTCACAGATCCTCCCGTGGCCCTGCGCACGGATCCGGCGCCCACCCCAGTGATGGGTGGCTGCATTTCCATGGCAGCTGCCACCCATCACCCGCAGCTCAGAATGGCTTTGGGGCTGGGGGGCAGCTGGGTCTTTCGTTGCTTCTGCCCGTGCCGGTGTCGCAGCGCCCACCATTTGTACCACGCCGGGACCGCGTGCTGCTCTGGGCTGCCAGCGCCGGCATGTCGAGACATCTGCGGGTTTGGTGGTCTGGCCTCACCAGGGGGATGCTCCACAGCCACGGCCCCTGCGCCACGGCCAGGCCCCAGCTATGCCCATGTCCTCTCCGTGCCAGAGCCAGGTCGTGGCGCCCGCGGAGAGGGACGTGTTTGCACCCAGTTCGGATGCCACGGTTACGGGACAGGCCTGTGACCTGCAGTTGTGGGGGGCAGCTGCGCAGGGTGGGGAGGAATCCACAAGGCCAGCCCGGGGGTGAGGGCTGAGGGGGCACCCACTTGTTCCTTGGCCCCTCCCGGTGATGTCATCGCAGGCAGGTTCCATCACTCTGACATCACAGCCGGGTGGTGGATGGCTTTGAAATGGGTTTAACCAGTGGGAAGGCAGCCTGCAGATGAAGCCTCGCCACCGTCTTTACGATTGGCTGAGCTGCCTCCGGTGTCATGAATTTTCCTCTCTGACGCGACCGGCTGGACGCTTGCCCGTGTCCTGACCTGGGCGCTGGCTGTGAGGCCCAGGTGCTCGTGAAGCTGGGTGTCTTCCCCTGGGGTCCTCCGAGCCCCGGTGGCGTGACGTGGCACCTACGCTATGGAGCCGGAGAGCCAGCGAGGTGCCCAGGGACATCAGGGGAGTCAGTGGCAGAGCTGCCCTGGCCTGCTGTGCCCCAACCCCGGGACTCAGGA